AGGTTACATCTCAGGGGGGGGGGTTGGGGCGGGGCGAGAATCATTTAGATTTACGACTCGGAAGGGGAACAATACTGAATTTCGTGTGGCCCTTGTGCCCCAGAAAAGACGAACCCAATCTGTTAAGACCCATGCAGTGAGGTCTCTTCGCTTGGCCAGGGCCCCGGCCGGGTGCAAAACATTGTCTGCCAGGACGCGTGCGCCCTCGCTAAGCAGGGGTTCGGCCTTGGATTGAAAGGGCTAGGTGCCACGGGTGTCAATCTCAAGAAGTTGATGCCGCCTGTTAGGGCTGTTCGTTGCTCGGCATTGGGGCAAGTGGCGGTTGATGGCGCCAGGTTGGGGTTGAAGCGGAGTGTTATGATCAGACAGTCGAGTAGTCAAACCAACTGATCATCGGTGTCCGATCTTCTGGACCATGCTCAAACGACGTGGCTGATTGCGCCGGCCTAGCCCTGCCGTTCTCGCCTTTGAAAGTGAATGCCATGAAATCATCTTCACACCCTGCCGTGGGTTTGCCCAACTCGACTGAGGAGCCAACATGTGCCAAGTCCTGTCAGCTCTTTGTTGGACAGAATGATGATTGAAAGTCCAGAGACCGGCTTCCGACTAGAAGCCCAACCGGGCACAACACTACAAAAACCATCGCAGACCCGAGTGATTACATGAAACCAATACCGTCAAGCCAGGCCCGGTTGAATCCAAAGACTGCCCAGAACACCGCATGGACCGCAACCTCCGAAGCTTTGATCGCAAGTCCCCCATCGAAGATGACTGACACCCCAACCCTAGCTATTCCCTGGGAGTGATGGCCCAAACGGAAACATGGTAAAAGGAGAGGATGGGCTTGCTTGCAGTTTTGGTGTTCCGATACAGCAGTCTTGATCGGGCTTGTTGGGCTTGCGATTCGACCGGCGTGGGAAGCTCGATAGCTTTCAGCTCCCTCAAAAGGCCTTCTTCAAGCAGCCTCAAACCTGCCACAACAACCTCGGGCAATGCCGGTACTGATGTTGCTGTTACGTTCCTGTAGCCGTTTGCTGTCGTTGCTGTCGGCGCAATTGCAGTTGCAGTCGTCATTGTTGCTTTGGTGTGGGGGTGTGGGAGCTGGTGGTGGTGATTGTCGGCGTTAAGGGATGTTACTCAGACCTACACGTAACCGCTTAGCCCTGGAAAAAGTTTATGCCATAGAGTGAGTGTGTGTGTGTGCGCGCGCGCGTACAGCCTCATGGTACACCGTCCCTCGGTGGTCGAGTATGAGTACGTCCACCGCATCCAAACCTAGGCAAGCTGCGTCTTGTCTCGGCTTCCACTTGAGCGTTCGACTAGCACCGTCACAATACCGTAGATGATGCCAACCAGAACAGAATCTCGTGAACGGCAACCAATCCGTGGCAAGGACTCTTGCCGAGGACCTCCGGATTCCTTAGCCCCTTAGCCAAGGCCACGACACTCCGAACAGCTTCCGCCCAGGAATTACAGGTTCCACACACTGACAAATGCTAGTTGAAAACTCGCGAACGCCCGACTTCAGCCACTCTCTCTCAAAGGTCGTACAGTAGGCCGTGGCATGAAGCCCTTGGGAGGTAGCTTTCCAGAATTTATCAGTTTTTGCCCTCTGTGCAGCATAGCCATGGCTTGAACATGCTTTAGCCATGTCTCTGCCTGCCAGCCTTGCAAGAAACTCGTGCAACCAATTGGCACAAACTGCGACAGTCGGACAGTCGGCGCCCCGAACCCCGAACTTGAATTGCAGCTTCTTTGGCTACGAGTACTTGTAAGCTCGGCACAGCCCGAAGCGAGCCAATCACATGCACGGCCAACACCTTCGACTAGTTTAAGATCATCGCACTAGTATCCTCTGAGAACTATCGGGACTCGATACAGCCTACGAGCGGGAGTCGTCATTTGGGCGAGCGAGTCTCGGACAAAAATGAGCATTTGGAAGGAAGGCTGTGGGCTGCGTTGCACTGCGAGAAATGACAACATTTCACAACTGTCACAACTACACAGCTGCTTGGCATCAGTGGTCCTTAATGACGCAGCCTAGATCTGCTCGGTACTAGTTTTGTATGTTGACAACATGTCTACCTGGCCATTCGGGCTGAACACAAAGCTGACAGCTTTCTGTCGGCAGCGACTATCGCACTACTCCCAGGTTATATACTCCTAGGTTTGCCAGGTCTAACCTGGCAGTCAACCGTTGCTGAGTGTCGTGCGCCCAAAGCCTGAACATGCACATACTTTGAACATCGCCCTGGTTCGGAAACCCACCAATCGTGACCACCGGTAGTCATGGCCCAATAAAAACCGCACGACATGTAACATGTAAACTAGATCAGGTCAAACGGTGCGAATGTAAGCTCTGGAAATTGAACCCCAAACGGCCAAACAATGGGACTTGAGGGCGCACGCAGCTGGACGCTCTCCGTCACGCCAGCTAAACGAAGGACTTCCTGTGCAACCTCGGGCGAGGAGCACCTGTTTTGTCGAGCTGTATCGTTGGATCCCTGCATAGGTAAGAACAAAAGCGTCCACATTCTCGCATATCGCAATGTCGGAGTCGTGCAAAGAGCCGTGCCCGGATTCCGCAATTACGTCGCAGCTTGTGAGCCCTGCCCCCTTCAACCTAACCGTGAGCCCTGCCTGCCTGAAGTAACCGAATTGAAAACCGAATTCTTTTTTGGCATAGGACTCGTATGGGTTGCTGTGTGTCCGAAGTTATGCAGAACGCTCTCGCCTTGGTCTTGTGGGCACGCTCAGGATTTGCGAGCCTTGAAAAACTCAGTCTACCAGTATGACGGGATTCAGCAATCAGTTTGACCAGTTGAATGGTTTGGTATTCACCAACATCTCGTTCCGAGGTCCTATGAAAGGATAGGTGAAGCGGACTCAGCATATGGAGGAAACGAACGGTGAAATGGTGAATTGTTGAAATGACGAATCGGTGAGACCGTGAAAATAAACATGTGGGGTGGGGGAAATGAGACGGGTGGGAATGCTTTTGATTTTTTGCTTTTGGTCTTGGGTGGGTGGGTGGCTGGGTGGGGGGTTTGGGGGGCTGCGGGGAGCTCGGGGGTGTGTTGTGGCCGGGGGGGGTGCTGGAGGCCAAGTCCGAACACGGCTTAGCCTCGGAAGCATACCGTATTGACATGAATTAGCTCTTCCATACGATACAAGACAAACATGAGCAAAAAGGTGAAGAGACTTGAAGACACGAGCGACAGGAAGGAAGAAAGGGGCCTGGTCTAGTTTGGGCGTGGGCGTGTCTACAGTTTACAACGTACTTGAAGCCGGGTCTGAGTCGTCCCGAGCCGTGCGAACAGCTGTTTTCGGGCGAGGTTATCCGATATCCCATTTATTTAAAGTCGGGCCACTTTGTGATCCGTGCCCACTTACATTTGTGCATATTTGTGCTGAAGTCGTTCATAAACAACTCGCAGTGCGCGCAATGAGAGGTGCTTAGCACCAGGCTGCAGCATTGAGCGGGTCAGACTCGATTGCTCTGACCTGGCAAACGCATGCTTAGCAGAGGCGAGGTTTCAGCGTCTATGGGAAAAGTGTGCAGCAGCAGGGGTCTAGGATTCATTCAAGGAGCTGCATTTCGGGGCGCCAGGTGCTTGGGGTCCTTCGGTTTCAAGGCAGTGAATAGGCGCCAGAGCTTAAGTGTTCCTGTTCAGGTACGAGAGATGTGTACAGCCCTTGGGAGATTTCTGGCGCCAAATCGTTTTTACGTTTCAATCGAACCATGTGTCCGTGCAGTATTAGTCGTCAGGTTGGAAACCCCTAGCAGCCTCGCTGCAGCCATCGAAGAGAAACCGAAAGCCTGGAACCATACCCCCAACCATCCAACAAGCTTTCAGCAAGAAGCACAAGTGCCTCTTTCGTCAGGAAAAGACAAACATGGTTGCAAGACCTGCTGCCGGCCGTCTCCCAGCAAAGAAAGCCGCAGGGCTGAATAGCCGACCTCTTCTGCTTAAGGCTTTTGCTTTTGCCCCAGTCCCTAGATCCATCCTGCATCCGATGCCCCAAGCTAAAGCTTCCTTAAGGCTTTGTTTGGCCCATGCAACTGTGCATCGAATTTCGAGTGGAATCTATCCCGGCCCAAACCGTGATTTGGACTAAGTTTGTGAAGGCTGTAGGTCGTCTGCCCTGCCCAAATTGCCACGTTTTCCAGCTTAGGAAGGCCTACTACTTCCAGTAGGGGAAACAAGAACGCCTGCCAATCACGCGGTTTGACGGGCCCTCACAAGAACCACCACTCTGAACCCCAACAAACTTAAAACTTAAACCCAAGGATTGAGATCATGTCTGCATACTGGCCGACTGCCTCAAAGATACATGATGTTGTACCACTCCAGAGCTTGCCGGCGAGCACAAACTAAAAGCGCCCGAAGCCCTGAACAAGCCCACGGGAACAAACAGCACAAGCCTGAAAGGATAAACCGATGAAAGGTCTGTCCGTTCAGTCCCAAGCATTTCCACCGGGGCGCTGGCATAGGCGCCGATTTCAAGGACCCGATCTGTGGGCCGAACTGCCGCCTCTGGGGTCCGAAGCCTGTCTGTCCTTTTTTGGGGTGTGATGCACTGTGAAGCAAAGCCTAGATTCTAGAACTCAACTGCAAACCAGACGTGCCCTTGAGGGGAGCAAGGTCGGAGTGGACTTTCGGGTTTGCAAGCGAGGAAACGCGGAGGACACATGCCCATTCCCCGACTTGGCCGTTCAACCCAAGGGTGAGATATGGTGATATGGCTTGTGTGGGCCGATGTCTTGACGTTCCTTTCCTCTTTCCTGCATTCTTACACGCACACTCTTGGGACATCTGCTTCTAGCAGCGGCCCTTTGCAAGGGCCCCAGTCCTGAAATTCGCAGGGGCTGTGAGGTTGAGAGCTGCGAATCAGGTGCGAGCTGCCAGGCCTCCAAAACCTTGGCTTTCTCACCGCCAGCCACCTTCAAAGGGGAGGAACGACGTCTCTACTGAGAGCTTAGGGTTCCTCAAACCGGGCCATGGCAATGAGTAGCTAACTTTGGCGAGGGATTTAGGATCCATGCACTTTCCAATAGATTCTTGTCAACTCTCAACATGAATACATAAGTCCCACAAACACCGAAACCCGGATTTAGAAAATTGTGTCACTGCTGGCTTTTGTCTGTATCGCAAGCGATACGGGTGCGGGCCTACAATGCTTTCATGCCGAGCAGGTCGGGTGCATGGACACTGATGCGCAAAGCGAGGGAGAGTCACATTACTTGCAGGTTTGATCTCGCACCCGCAACCCAAAAGGGTGATCTGGGACATGATCATGCGGGGTTGCCGGGGTTTCCCCTTTATTGTCGCACCTTTCCCAGGAAACAAAAGCTTGTAAACCATGACTAGCTCCACAACAAAGCCAAAGCCTGCCATGCTTACCGAAACTTTGGATGCCGTCGTGCACAGGTGAGGTGGACCCAGGGCTTGAACCGTGATCAAGTGGCTTGGCTTCAGGCTCCTACCTCGGACAAGGTGTCAAGCGCCGAGGACCTAGGCCTTCAGTGCTTACACCGCCTTCTATCAGATGGACGAACCATCTAGTGTTAGCTGGTCCTCAGCGTTCGCTCTAATCACGAGATTTTCGGTTCTTTCAGAGGCGAGACAAGCGCAGTGGCCGCACACGTGAGTGCTCCTTGCGCGGGCCTCTGGGCCCCAGCTGAAGTCGGGCCCTAGGAACCGCATCGAGATTAATTTTGTGCGGAACCCTGTGGTCGCCATGCTAGGCCACATGCAACAACAAACATGGAGGTTTCCGCCCCGCATACCACTGAAACCGGACTGGAGACTTCTGGCTGGAGCCCCATAGCACGGCCGCCAGGAAGATCCAGGAAGCCCTTGAATTAAATTAAAAAAGCGGCAAGACAAGCTCCCGAGCAATGAACCTACAGACTTGGCGGATGCGAGCGCTAGATAGGAGATTACAAGCTATAACTGCCCCATCCGACTTCAAGACCCAGCGTTGCTCCTGCCTTGAGCCAGCTGTTCTCCGTGGCAAACTGCTCCAAACAGTTGATAACACTAGCCTGGGCACAGGTGATGTTGGAGGACCAAGGATGCTCTGGATAACTTCATACGGCGTACTCGCCGTGTTTATTCTCAATAATCCAGGCCGACGTTTGTAAGGCCAGTTGGGCAATCAAATCTCCGATCCTTGGCAAATTGGGGCCCCCAACCTAGACATAAGCGGCTGAGACATTCAATGGTAAAAAAAGCCCCTCGCTCCAGGGTCAGATCAGGTGTTGGGCCGACTCAAGCGGATTCGGGTACCAAATCCGCTCAGTTGAGTTGGCTGCCCAACACCCGATTTTGGGGTTTACGACTTGCAACCCGACCTGTCCATTCCCCCCTGCTCTGAACGCAAGGTTGAAACCGATTCCAGCCACCAAACAACATCAGGCGTGTTTTGCTAGTCCAACCCCTTCAGTTTTATTTGCAGACCCTCTTTCTCCTGCAGCCTTGAAGTCTCCGAAGTTCTACGTTCCGGCAGACTTGGTATCTCGAGGGAATGTTGGCAAGCCTTGAGCCTTGGGAACGCAGTTCAACCCAATGCCCTGTATGGGCACACGCGGTGTCTCGAAAGGGGCCAATTCAATGCAACCTCTGAATAGAATCACGCAATATCAATCTGAATTCCTGAAGCTGCAACCTATGTTCCATTCCAAAGATTCCCACGACGCTTTTGTAGGGAGCGAACGGGACAATCCCTCACAGCCGTCCTCGGAACACCGGCATGTGGGGGTGTAGGCCCATTCACGAAACTCCAATGCTGGGCCGACATGACCCACAAGGTTTTCAGACCTAAATACCATGACCACATCCAAAACCTTGAGGCACTGCTGCTTCAAACCCTGTCTGCACTGTCAGGCAAGCAAGACAAGTTAAATCTGTGTCTGAATCTCTGAATCCACACCGACGGGCCTTTACAAACAACTGCACTCGGGGTGAGGCACGGCTATCCATTTCTCTGAAGCACAACATTTTGTTCAGCTGCTGTTCAACCTTCAAGTCTATGACTCGCTGTCTCAATCGCTGGAGCATCAACTGACTGACACCATGAGCTGCGCAGCTAATTGCTGGATTCCTCGCAACCCTCTGCCATGATGCAATGACTCAGTCAACAGCTGGGCCCCTCAAGGTTGCCTCACTGAGCTTCAGATCCGCTGCATGCACAATAAAGTTCCTACAGTAAGTGAAGCTGCTCCTTCCTTAACCCCTATTCCATCGGCTAAGTGGCTGCTCGAGGTGCTCGAGAAGCCGCACCTCCTGCACTGACAGTATGTAGGCGGCTGGACTCACTGGCCGTTTGTGGCTCCTTATTATGGCCCGAATATTGGCAGCACGCTTCTAGCATGCTCAATCAATACAAACAACCCATCCGAAACGCGAAGGGAACACACAGTCACTTCTCGACTGCGAACTGCAGAACTTCAGAATGTCGAACGAGGATGAAGGCCGCACCCCGGCAACTCACAATTTTCCGGGATTTGCCGAAAGGTGGCAAGATCACACGAGCAGGCGACATAATCGCCCAACACTAAATCCTAAGGACGAAGCCCTGCATCCCAAGGACCGAATCCTGAAGGCATGAGAGAAAAACCGATCCTTGCGCTTCCTGCGTGAGGCTCGTTCTTGCTCAAGGCGCTGAGAAAGAAGTTCCTGGGCTGGGGTGCTTGGGATTCTGAATTGCACTCTTCTGGTCCAGAATAGCATAGGAACTTGCAGATCTTCGCCAGAAGGAACAAGGCAGGAACAAAACTCTGTGCTATCGTGATCCTGTAAGGTTGTGTGAGTCCGGTGAGCCATGCTTCGCGACATCAAAATCTCCAACTCTCCTGCACGGGGCACCATTTCATCTGGGTATGATGAATATGAATAGAGATGCATGTCGGAGAACTCTGCAAAGCTTGCGAAAATCACACGGAACAGCCGAGCCCCTCGTGTGCGGCAGCAGGTGTCGTTTCTGGTAAGGGGGAACTCGTAGCGAACTTGTGCGCAAAGCAGGTCAAAGCAGTACCAAAGATTTGCGTGATCTCGGATTGCATGTGGCATGTATCTAGAACCTAGAATCTAGCAGCGGCTCCCTAGCACACGTGTCTTTCTCTGACACTGGCATTTCCAGCTGTAAGTCAAGCTCAATGCCGAGGCCCGGGCAGAGGCTACATCCGTGGCTCCTGCCACTTGGCATGCCCAAACCGCTGCACTTAGGCACCTGGCTGTTTCCGCGCTCTCCCTCTCCTCTCCCTCTCTCCTCTCCCCCCCTCGCCTCTGTCTCCTCTCTGCTCTCTCCTCCCTCTCCCCTCTCCTTCTCCCTGTGAGGATCCCACCGAAGCCGTTATAGTAGTCGTATTCACTGATGATGCCGTTGCTTCAACACCAGAGGGCTAAACTTTACCCCAATTTTAAAAGTCGCTCGAGCGAGGTCCCAATCACGCGAAAATGCGGGAAATCAGAAGAGCTCCTACTCGGACCAGCACGAGCGCCCTCTTTGCAGCTGGGCCGCCAGTCGTCGCTTTGGCACTGGCTGGACTGCAGCAACTTCAACGCCTGAGCCCGCTGTCGGGCTCCGGGAATCTCCGGATATCAGACGGAACTCCAAAGCCCTTTATGTTACCTTTGGGTGAATGTTTCCGTTTAGGATAAGGGATAACGGTTAAGACGGTAAAGATACAGCAACAGCATGGAGGTCATCAAGCGACTTGAACGGCTAAGGTTTGGGTCTATTGCTTAGGTACCCCCTCCGAAAATACTCGTAGGCTTCAACACGGCGTTCCGGCAAACCTTTACCCAGCGTGAATCTGAAAGGTTGAGTTCTACAAAATCTCAGGACTTCAGGGGTCTGATGTTCGCATCACCCTAAGAGCCATTGTTCCTGCCTCGTTCCATTGGCGCGCCATTCCTGCAGTGAGGCTCTGCTCACTAGGTTTCGGAACGGAGCATTTAAACTGAAGTCGTCGCAGCTTCCGAGGCGTAGGGAGCCTTTACGACTCCAACAGCTTGGCCGACAGGGTCAGGCGTTCGGGTGAAGTGGGTGCCAAACACCACCCGCGAGAGTCGCTCTATGCCACACCATTCACTTGAATCACTTCGGAACTCAGCACAGTGCTTGCTCCACAAGTCCCAACAATCGTGTCTTTCGTGGAACGCCATCATCATCACCGTCATATACCATGGTGGACTGACTTTCGCTGCCGCATCCACGATGCGACAAAGTGCAGCAGGAACACTCAGAATCAAGATTGGCATAAACCCCGACTCCGGAAGACGAGTGCGCAACGACTCTCGAAGACGCCATGAATCCTGAACCCTGTGGCATCGGCAAGCAAGCATTGCCTCGCGAAATGTCAATCAGACCAGAGTACATATGCCGACACCGGAAAAAGTCTCTGCGAAGGAGTGCACACGCAAAACATCTCAATTCTCAGCAAGAAACCTCTCAAAACGCATATTGATGCCGAGGCACCCAAAGCCCTCAATACATGCGCTACACCCTCATCAGCCCGAAGCTGGCGTGAGCCCAGGGAGGCGAAAACGCGGAGGGAATGCCGCCAGGCCTGAGACGGTTGCAGGGCGAACTGCCGATCGAGGCTGCGTGAGGGTAATGCTGTTCTGGCTTTCGGACTTAATGCATTGGCGACAGCTTTGAAAGCAGGGACTGGAACTGTACGTAGCTTCCGGCTTGGTTTTAGTAAGTTTCGTGTTGTTGGAATTCCTTGTGCTTTGCCTCCATGATCAACCTGCAACCCCCGCCCGCGAAATGTAGGCCGCTCCTGCCTGGGCATTAGTGAGGGCAGAGAGGAGAGTGGTGTGAGCTTCTGCTGCCATTCTCTCGTTCGCCGTGTCGTGATACAGGTGCAAGCATTCTTGCCACCTAGGGTGAGGGCACATACTGAAAGAGAGAGAGAGAGAGGTTGTCTGTATATCTGCCTGCCTGCCTGCCTACCTGTCCGCCTGGCTTTCTGGATAGATGTGAAAAACCAAACAAGCCGACGCTCTTTCCACACCACTCGATGTGGTGGGGTCTCGAAAACGTAGTGCATGGAATGCAATCCGTCCGGAGCTGTGGGGCCTCCAAAAAGCTGTTTCGAGTATACAAACGCAGTACGTGGAACGCCCTTCGAGTGGTGGGGTCTCGGAAATGGTCCTTTTCGAGGACAAAAGTAGTACGTGGAATGCTTTCCCGAGCTTCCCCGACGGACTCCGGACTTGGAATAAGAGCGGGTGCGACCTCGTGAAAAACGAGGTCGCGCCCGGTCGCACCATCCCTTTTCGAAGCCCGGAATGCCCCAGTACTTGGGGGAGCTGTCGAATCCTGGTACTTTGGGGGAAGCGTATTGTACAAACTCCAAAGTGCTGTTGTCGAGTACAAACGCAGCACGCGGAACGCTATCCGAGCGGTGGGGCCTCCAAAATGCTGTTCGAGTAAAGAGTAGTGAGTAGTATGCGGAAAGCAATCTAACAGGGTCCGGAGCTATGCATGGGGCCTCCAAAATGCTCTTTTCGAATACAAACGCAGTACGTGGAATGCTCTTCGAGTTGCAGGGTCTCGAAAATTCTTTTCGAGTACAAGCGTAGTACGTGGAATGCTTTCCCAAGCTGTGGGTGCGACCGGGTGTGACCTCGCAAAACCCAGGTCGTGCCCGGTCGCACCCACCCTTGGCTTCCGTAACACATGGTGGGTGCGACCGGCTCTGGCCTCGTACAAAACCAGGCCGCGCTCCATCAGACCCACCCATGCCTTCCATAACAACTGATTTGGGTGTGTCCGTGTGCGACCTCGTGAAAAAAAGGTAGCGCCCGGTGTGCGACCGGGTGCGACGTCGTACAACGAGGTCGCACCCTCACCCGGTCGCACCCACCCTCGCCTTCCATAACAAATGACCGGCGCGACCTCGTAAAAAACGAGGTCGCGCCTGGTCACACAGACCTGCCTTCCATAACAATTGTGGGTGCGACCGTGCGACCTCCTAAGAAACGAGGTCGCACCCGGTCCAATTACGTACGCCTTCCATAACAAATCATTTCACCTCGTAACAAACAAGGTCGCACTGTCGCACCTGGTCGCACCCATCCTTCTGCGAAGTCCGGAGTGCGGTTATAGCACGCGCAGAAATATCTTTGTATTGTAGGCGTTATGAACTTCAAGGACACTACAAGTTTGTAACGCGAACGTCCACCCTTCAATTTCGGTATCTTTGTATTGTAAGCGTTGTGGACTGTAAGGACACTATACGTCTGTAATTCCTGTATCTTTGTATTGTGGGCGTTGTGAACTACAAGTTTGTAACGCGAACGTCCACCCTTCAATTTCTGAATCTTTGTATTGTAAGAGTTGTGGACTGTAAGGACACTATACGTTTGTGATGCGAACGTCCACCCTGTAATTTCTGCATCTTGTACTGCAGGCGTTGTGAACGTTAACGACACTATTCGTTTGTAATGCGAACGTCCACCCTGTAATATCTGTATCTGTGTATTGTAGGCGTTGTCAACTTTGAGCACATTAAAAGTTTGTTTCGCAAATGCTCACCCTGAAATTTCTGTAACTGTGTATTGTACGGGTCGTGAACTTTAAGGACCTTAAAGGAAACATGAGTGGAGGATTTCAACTATTTCAAGAATTTGGGTCCCAAAATAAATAGAAATCATTGAAATATTGCTTTCCTCGTGTGTCGGTCAGGATTCCCCTTTGTTTGAATGATAGAAATACTCGAAATACTGGAAGTGGTGGGGAGTTCCTTTATTTCGTTTGTTTTTCAAATTTGGGGTCCAAAACAATAGAAACATTAGACATGGCGTCGATTTCTATTATTTCTATCGTTTAAACGGTGGGGGGTTAGGCTTGAAGGACATATGAGCATGGGATTTCCATTGCTTCAAGAATTTGGGTACCAAAAACCGAAATGGAAAATACTGTTTTGATTTCAATCATTTCAACTATTTTGCGTATTTGTAATACTCATATGTCCTAACTCGGGCTTGAAATAGACCCTAAAGAGCTCTCTTTCTCCCTCTCTCTCTCACACATATATATATATATATATATACATATATATATATATAATGTATGTATGTATGTATGTATGGATGGATGGATGTATGTATGGATATTTATACATCCTGCTATCAATCCACAACAACAAAACTAGACACGGGTGCAGTCTTCATGCGTGCCGAGGCTCTGAGTTGATCGTGCGCAAGCCCGCAAGGCAAGCAGCACATCCTGAACAGGTCACAGAGACAGTCGCCTGAACTCCAAGCTTGGGGGTACTTGAGGGTGCAATGATGTACAAGGATTCAGGTTACAAAATGTGCCAGGCAGAAAAATGCTTAGAACAAAGTCACGGGTGAGGTTCTGGCACAAGACAGTGTGGATCGTCCGATCGTCCCTGTACCTACTTGCGCCGCCATGGCACCAGCTTCGTTTGCAAGATTGTGCCATTGTCCCCCACAGTGAGCACTTGATTGTCACTATGATCTTGTTGCTACATTGCCGTAGATTGCCAACAAAGCTACAAGGATTGCCATCATGACATCTTCATGCCGATTGCCATCTAGCCTTCTGGCTGCTGGAATGCCATTGGAATTTCGCTTGGCTTGACATTGGACTTCATGCTGACTGATTGCGAGCATCGGCACCATACCGTGAAAAATTATGGAAAATTCAGGTCGATAAATTCAGTTCCACTGCTACGATCTGACCAGCAGTGGAGGATGGGCTCTCCCTAGTTTTCTCCTACCCGACCTTATATCCTCGATTTGGACGCAAGTTTCCCACACTTATGCTGGAGGTTCTGTGTTGGTCTATATGTCATCCTACGCTTTATCGCCGCGCCGACGCAGGAGATGGGCGACTCCCTATGGTGAACCCACCTGACCATGCTTCCCATGCTTACGTGTTTAGCCAACTCTGGGAGACGGTGGCTCCCAATACGAGGCAGCCGGAGACCTCTGGAACATCCCAACAGACTGTCCGGACTCAGGTGCGCCCGCCCGCACTTTTCAGAAAGGCGCATTTCTGGATCACTAGCAATATGATTTGTTCTATTCTTCCGACGTTGGACGACGACAACTCCCACTTATCATGCAAGCCTTCGAATTATTCCGCAATGCTGTCTAGGGGAGCCGACATGAGGCGAACCCCGCATTTTTAGTCCCACTGAAAGGGCTGCTGACGAGCGGTCTCACCTGTGGACATGCTCTGCGCGACTGAGAGAGAGAAAGTCACGGGTGAAGCATGCTGTGACCTGCCCCGGTTGCTGCAGCAAGCTTGAAATCCCGGGCATGTTTTTCCGAAAATCCCTGAACCGTCACCTCGGAAGTTCTGTCGCTGCCGAGCAGTTGGAGGGTGGCCCTCCATGCAGCACTGCGGGCACAGGTTTCCAGAACTGCTGGAAGAAGATCGTTCCACATGTTCCTCGAGGCAACGGTGCTTTTACTGCCACTCCGCAGTCTTCGGATCAGACAAGCTGGCATAACAACACTCCCTGGTTCAAGCTTTACAGCACAAAGTCGACGTTAACCTCTGTGTCGCAACATGCCTTCATGCCCTGCCACATACAAAGACAAACTTCCCGCCGCATGGTTTATTGTCGTTGATTTTGTGTTGAAGTTGTGTTTTCACCACAGTTTTAAGCATATTTCGAGGTTGTTTTGGGTACTAAAAACAGTGCTACGTTATGCTGGAATGCTAGCAAACGTGTGGTTTCAGCACGAGTTCGGGTGACAAATTCATCTCTGCGACATCGGACGGTACAGGTCAGGAATTCCTCGTTATTTACAGGGTTTAGCGTGTTTTAAGCTTGAAACTAGTGATTTTCGGCGGGGGCGGAATTTTATGTCTTGGGCCTTATTTTCGGGCTGAGGGACTATCTAGTTGCTGTTTGTGGGGTTAAGGAGTCTGCCAATGTCTTCGCATCCCCAGGTACAACATACAACATCAGCCAGCACGACCATCAGAATCCCCATGTACAACATCATCCAGCA